TTCTCGACCATGAGTTCTTCGTTGGTAAATATCCGGTCCAGGCTGGATGGCCTTTCTGCTGCTCTGAATCTGGTGGGATTGTCGATATGGCCATAAAGCGGAAAACTGGAGACAAGGTCTTGTAAATCCGCTTTGAACTGTTCCGTAGGTGTTGCTTGTGCACCCAGAGCGTGGATATTGAAGTCACCATCGATAAGAATATGGCTGTATCTCCTGCTGATCACAAGCCTCAGCGCAGACGCGAGATTGAAGTCCATCTCGGGTGTAGAGGATGGAGGTCGATAAACGACCGCCACCAGACAGACGTCGTTGTCTGTTAAACGCAGCCGACACCAAAGAGTATCCTGCACGTTACTGTACACGTCCTCTATGGGCTCACATTGGAGGTCACTGCGGTAGTACAGAGCCACCCCGCCCCCTTTACTGGATCAATCGCGCCGAACGACGGACATGCCTGGTAGCTCGACCTCCGTGTCTGTGATATCCGGGCGCAACCACGTCTCCGTTATAGCGACGAGGTCACACGATTTGGACCTTTGATGTAGTCGCAGTTCGGGTAGTTTGTTAAGTAGACTTTGAGCGTTAGTGTACATACAGGACAGCTGTTTGAGCACCAAAAGAGCTTGTGGAGGATTACACGAAGTTGGATTAAAGCCGGTCGATGAAAGGCCGACACCTGATCGTTATCTGCGCAGTCTATCGATCAACATTTTGCACGGGCCTGCAGCCCGCCTAACGTCGTTCCTGCACACGCAGAACGCTCTTCAATAGCGTCGTTTTCAGTGGTTGTTAATCTTGATGCAGTGTCTTCGGGCTCCGTTTATTTTATCACACTGAGCCACAGATAGTGCCACATCCTTCGGTGGCTTCGATTCAATAAATGGTACCTTAAATCGTAGTTCCGATGGCAGTGCATTGTGCATTTTATGCCAGTTACGCATTAAGTTCGCCGTCATCTGCTGGGACTGAACCACAAGTTTCAGTATCCTTGGACCATTACCTTTGTAATGAGGTGAAACGGGCAGTCTAGAAATCGACTGAAGGATGACGTCGCCTGCAGATAGAGTTTCATGGATGTACCGCCATTCTTCCAGATCGTGAGCATGGGCCTCCTCGTCCCTAGCTGTTGGTAGTTTGGGCACACCATGAGCTAAAATGGTTTTCTCCAGCTGGCCGTGTTGCGATCGTCCAAATTGTGTTCTTCTCGCTGACGTTCGCTCCATGGAACATCCGGAAAGATGCGGATCTTACTGTCTTCACCTCGGAGGTGATATGCCGATAAGAGCACCGCCTCTACATCGTCAGTGGATGCCAGAATTCTGGGCTCACCATAGTGAACGGAGTTTGGATGTCTCGTCACACGCGTGATGTTAGTCGGCTTGACCCTAGCACCTATGCGATCGCAAATGAGATTCCGCTGGTTCAGATCGTCCTGTTGCTTACCTCTCAGAGAATTTGCTTTGGATTCAGGAACGTTGGTGAATATGAGTGTTAGAGCACCGTAGTTCCTCCTGGTGTTCGGTAATGTGGGAGACGTCGTGATGGATGGACTAAAACAAGTCTCTGAATTTCGTGCTTGGTCTTTTACACATGTCGCGGATATTGTGCTTAAAGTTTTGTTTACTGTGTCTCTAGCAATAGTCGCTGCGTAAGTTGATTGGCCTTTAGAGATACTCAGACTTTGTTGGTCAGTCGGAAGTCTGGTTCTTACCGAGGCTTTGGATAAGAGCGGAATGGCTGAGGAACTGAGGATGTTTTGTTCGTATGTGATGCCTGATTGGTTCGGGGTTCCCAAGATATTCGCCGCTGTGATTTCGCGAGAACGTCTGGCTCTTTTCTTCGGTTTAGTGGCGGTGAGTACGGGAGATGGTGGAGATACAATCCTTGCTATAATAGCCTCTAATGAAATAATTCTTCTATTCAGGCGTAATTCTACTTCTGCAATCCGACGGTCGTAATCTTTCGACAAAGCAATTACGCATTTTACTATGGGAACCGTTGTGCAAGTAAGACAGAACGAAACAGACACGGACAGATTGTTGTGCTTGTTAGCCTCAGTAATCGCACTATGATTAACGGAACACAACGCACAATGATGGCCCGATTCCACTGTCTGGGCAAGTGACTCAGCTCCACTTGTAACTTCTCCCCTTGTTAGATTGGTCATGGTCGGCTGCAACGAAGTGGCACGGCCCGGTTCACGGGCTAGTTTGGTGTCATGCGTGGTAGGTGTGCTTCGCCGTCTCGTCCGCTTGTGGTCGGAGGACACGTTGATCGACTTACGCGTGATGGGCCTATGCGTCATGCGGTCACGTTTGAATAGGCCGTGTAGGACGTGCTTGGGTCGTCTGAGTGATTGAATTGATCTGGCCGAGATGCAACGGCGATCGTGAAGTTTGCTGGGCGCTTGAGTGCGTAAGTTAAAATGAATTTCTTCTGTAACCGTTATGCACAGTGGTGCTGTGAAGCGACTGAAGGCTTGTTAGCAAGCGGAAAGATTTCTCTATCGAATGATGTGAAAATCCGAAGGGTTGTAAAAAGAATCCACGAAAAGCTGCAGACTGGAGATGTTTTGCGTGTGAATTCCCCGGCAAACTCCGCGAAAAACACAGACACAAGCTAGAGGTTGAAGCGATGGGAATAGTCCGGGTGGAATGGATCCACCGTGTAGAGAAGATGATTCCGAGTAGGATGAATGCACGCTAGGTGCTATGCAGTGAAATGGTGATGAATGATCCACAAAAAGGCGAGAGCCGCGAGGATACGTGTGATGTCAATCACCACCTGCAGGAGAAAGCCCTCATGAATGCAGAGAAGAAGCGGTAAGTGCGGAAGCGGCAAGCACCGATGGGTTGTTCTCCATCGACATCAAGCACATGGTGCTGTAGAACATGCGGTCGCCAGTGCCTTAGTCAGGCAGGCTTAGTGAGTCATGAGCGAGGCCACTCGGGACTACTACCGAAGCGACGACGGGTCCTGCGGAGAAGTATTCAGAACCGGCGAAGCGTTTGTAAGTACGCTGCATTCGATTTACTAACCGCATGATTGCATGCTAAGTCTCTTTATTTCAGGTGGTGGGTTTTCAATTTCGCCTTAATGCTTTTCTTTCCCATATAAATGTCTACCTGTACTCTATTCCATTAACTTGCACACCTCGCTTAAGCCAATTGTATCCGATTTCCATAACATTTTTGTGTTCGTGGCATTTCTGTAACACATACTTTCTGACCTCGTGAACTTGTCTAGGATTCGTTTGTAAACAACTTATTTCATATGCTCATTAACGTAAGGTTTATCTTACCGTTTCTTTTTGCATTAATCGGGTTATTTTCTTTGTCTCTCTCTCTCTCTCTCTCTCAAGTGATTGGCTGCTGTTTGATATCCCCGGTGTGGCTGCGCTTGATGTGCATGTTGACAAGGTGCCTACTTGTCTATTACCCACTACCTCGTCCATACAAGCTCCAGGAGACAGTTGGTCGTTGCTGGAGGGGACGGGGTGCACGGTTTTTGTGGTCGTGCTAGGATCAAAGAGTGGTTCCATGCACTCAGTGTGGAGCGGACTACGGTCAAGCCACCGCCTTGTGTGCGCTTCATTCCCAAGTACAGCGTGCTTGTGTTTGCCTGTGAAGGAGTGTGGGCCGGCTCCGTTGATGAAACGTGGTTCCCATCCGCATGCCTCCCGGTCTTATTCCTTCGGGTTTACACTGGATATGGGGTGTGTGGATGGAGCTGTGGGTGGTGCAGAGCAAGCCACCTATGGTCCCTCTGTAGGCGCAGGCGTCCTGTGGCTGGCCACAGTGATAGGCGAAACCGAAACCGGATGCCAGAAATCAAATATATATATATATATATATATATATATATATATATATATATATATATATATATATATAAGATCAGTTGCGAACAAAATTCATGACCACTGCCCAAATGCACTACGTGGTGATAGCAAAGGCAATGTGAGCCAACTGGCGTCGGGAGCTGCGATCTAATTATAGTGTGAAAAAGTGGGTGATTAACCGATCGTACCCAAAAAGCAATGTATGGGGATATGAATAGGATCTTAAGTTAGTCCACCTCATCTTGTTGGTATTGTCAATGCACAGCTGATGATCGCAGGTGAAATTCCATGTGGAAGTAGCTTAACACCTTAAGGTATGGGCTAACCGAATAGATAAAGAAACAGTGCTGATGAAAACGCGGTTTTGATAACCCTTAGTAATCACGCCTGCTGTGAAAAGTGCTCTGGTCAGTTAATTCAGACGCTAGTTACAATATCATCTGATTATCAGTAGATCAGGAGTAGCCGTCCAGTCGATCCTAGTGTGTCTGCTGCTTTTTCAGGAACCATACCGTGGTAATAGTCGTCCACTACAACACGTCCTTAGATCGCCGCAAGTGTTGTAAGGTCTAAAGCCCAGTCATGACTCTAGGCCTTAACTTTATCCAGGTGCTCAACCAGCGTAGAAACGCGTGACTGCACACATCGACAAGCAAATTTATTTATCGTATTCCTGAACGTTGCGCGTTTCGCACCAGTGTGAAGCTAGGATCGTGGTTATCGAAATGATATTTGAATGTTTTTTGACTACTCGTAAGTAGTATAACGATGGTATACACCTGGGAATATTAGGTCAGCATTCATAGTGTCCATTGGAGATGGCAGGGCCTCGATTTCTTAGCGCAATCTTTCGAGACGGGATTCAGTGCCAGTGATGTCTACCGGTGATACCTTTATCGGTCCCAGACGACGAAAATTAGCAGCACGTATTAGCCTTTCTCACAATCAAGGTTAGACCTAAAAGAGATGCCAAGACGTAGGGCTACTTCGGTCAGAAGTGCTTTGAATTGAGAGATCTTATCTAGTTTTTATCTAAGTACATTAGGAAAAAGGAGTGAAGTTGCACTTATACCGAAGACGAACAGTGGCATCTGTGATAACGAAGCAGAAAAACCGCCTGGACATTAGAGAACACAATTGTGTAAAATAAAGAACTAACCGGGAATGTACTCCATTACCAAGTACAGTGCGTGGGAGTCCTGGAAGGAGAAGAAGAGCTTTACTACCCATTCATTATCGGCCTCAGCTAAAATATCGCGCTCAGCTTGCACGTGTGCCAACTGACGTCGTTCAACCACATCTCTTTTGTTCAACAACTTCATTGCGTATAGCTGGCCATTATCCTTTTTCCGAACTAGCCACACCTTCCCAAATGCTCCAACACCTAGAAAACGAAGGAGTTGAGCTGTTGTTGGTCACACAAGATAGAATTCGTAAGATTCGAATATCGTAAAAGAAAGCTGTGCGGAGAAAATTCCATTGACAGTACTTAACAGTACACAGCCACAGAAAAATTGCAAGAATACTCTTGGATAAAAGTTGAAGCCGGTATACTTTTAACATGCATCCAACTCAGTTCTAAAGGTTTGTTGTGGAATGGAGAATAACGAGTTGAACAGGCAGAGGAAGGTATATGATTTGATCAGAAGACATTAGGGGCTCATAACTGTATCACAGTCGTGAGAATCGCAAGACACCGAGAAGCAGTTCTTCGCTGGTAGCAGATTTGCAGAATTGTCCCATTATATTTATTATTTTGTCTAATAGGTGAGGGGACGTGCAACGAGATATTCAACTATAGGAAACATACACGAAAAACAGTAGGCTGGTGATCTTCAATTGGTTAGTACTGTGGTTTCATATTTCCTTGATGTTGATTCCTCCACTGTTCATACTAAAATTAACGCAGCTAACTATATCAGTGCGTGTGTTGATGTTTCTCAGTGGCAACGTTGCATACGCAAGCTGAATTCATGCTTCCAGGAGCCTTTGGAGTATGGTTATCACGTGTGGTTTCAATCTATGTGTCCTGCACTGTCAACTGGGAAGCTCTGGCAATGGGCCGACAATAGTATGCAGACGACATGTGCGACAGGGTCTCGGAAACAGCTCGGATGAACTTAACTTATAACTTGTCCCACTAGGTGGGATAAGTTGGACTACAAATTGGTACAGTCGCAACTTTGAACCCCACTTAAACACGCTGCCATTAATCGAAATCCCTTCAATTTGTCATAGAATAGGTTACGGTCCCAATTGACAATGGCTGTAGCAATCCAAAACAAGAAACGAGTAATTCGGTTTACATACACTGTGTGTCAAAGAATGCGCTAGGATATATAGTACGCAGTAATGTATCTTTTGATGCGAACTGAGTGAAACGGTTGTACGGGTCCAGGTTGGAGACAGTGGGTACTGAAACTCGCCCGTTACAACAGACTGTGGGAACTCATTTCGGTGGTATGGTATGTTGAGTTGTTGGACAGTCAGAGGTAAGTTCACGCGCCCGGAAACAATAACGTGTCAAATCACCGAACCGGCTAAGACATTTCCGCAATGAGCCATGCTTGTGACATTCCTCATACAACTGAGGGATCTGATGCAACTGAAGCTCACAGGAATAGAAAATAACGAGGAAAAGGCGCAAATCCAATTTCTGTATAGGTTGACATGGAGGCGTGTTGATGATGAGTTCCAACAGGGCGATAGAACAGACCAGTACCTTTCTTAGGTGTAACGGATGAGTGACCCAGTACGAGTTCAATTGCGGATCAGCAAATATGATCGAGGTGCGATGGATCCAATTGCATTGGTGCCCGTGACCAAGGCGACAGCAATAATAATAATAATAATAATAATAATAATAATAATAATAATGTCGGTGAGAACACAATAACATGGACAGAGACTACAGTGATTACATGGAACGTGTAGGAAATCATAGAAAGGATGCAAAATAGTCATCGGTTTTGTGACTGCGTCATGTCCGACAGGGTATCCAACCACTGATACGGTCGACCGCGATAAACCCATCAAGGATGAAGATAAGAAGCACTTCGACTCAACATTCCGATGAGTTGTTGCATGCTGTGTTATCCTCTTATTGAGTGATCACGCAGTAGATGCAACCAACCAGCATTGGCAGACAACACACGCCAGGACAGTGGGAATTGTAGGCAAAAATTGTTCGACTTCCACAGGTACTCCACCAAACCTGGCAAATATACTGCCGAATGATGACCTTCTGTATCACTCCATCGGTTCTATCCCCAGATGTGAGCAACATTTCGTAAGCAGCAGTGCTAAAACACAACCAGTTTCTTAACATCCTCGTGATGCGGCAGCCAGTTTTTTGATGCATATACTGGCTGCATCGCAGAGCTGTAAACCGTTCGCTTAAGCAGCATGATTACAACTCGCATTCGACATAAGTAATTGGTGCTTTGGAGATGCAAAGGAACTTAGCTAATGACTGCCAGGGGTGACAGCTATCCAGATAAGAAAACCGATCGGCATGTTCAAACGATTCTCTGGTGATGGTGAAGGATTTTGGTGAATTGACACAGTCATGTAACGGTACTTTGGATATCCAAGGTACTAAGCACGTACCAAGGCATGCAGAGGTGCGCCTCAGCGTATTCAGTAGCATGTGTATAGTAGATGGCGCAATCTAAATACATCTATATACTTCACGTACGGAAGGTTGGCAATCGGTCACCCAACAGAAGTCATATCCCAAGATAGATGGTAAGAGGCAGAAAGGTGTAAATTATGGTAATTTCGACCAAATTCTAAAGAGAATGAGATAAGTATAACAACCCTGACGCCCCTTTACCTGTCATGATGGGTTAGGGGAGTGTTTAACTTCAGACGTTAGCTATAGAGAGCTACAGACAACTGAATCAATCTTGGTCTCTAAGTCAAGAAAAAGTACAACGACAAACCAGGTGTAAGTATGGTGATGCTCTAACCTCTGGTAGAAATATGGACAAAGCACTCTTTCTCTGTTAAAAGTGAATCCGACGCGAATTTCATCGATTGATCTCTCACTAGGACCACCGAGCAGCAGAAGAATGATACATTTCAGCAGTTCGAAGACAACAGGGATTATTTTCAAAGGATATTCTTAATTCTCTTTCGTTTAAAGGTGGGAATGACGGTTGTTTGACAACTATTAATCAGAGGGTACTTTTTCTAGGGTGGAATAGTGTCGAAAAATCAATTAAGGTAGTCACTGGGGATCGCAACCTTTTAGCGAGGGTGGAATATAGCCTAAGTCAATGGTTTGATTCGGTTTCAGCAGTACCAGCTCTCATAGACTAACAATGACAGTAGGATTTGTTACGTTAACGACCCAAATAGGTTCGGCTGATCCGATTAGCAATGTTGCTATGCTAGTAGTGCGCTCCAGTGGATGTGACTGAGAGATTCAATTGGCCATCTGTTTAGACTCCTGTTTCATTCCTCGGATCACTGCGTCGAATGAGGCGAAACGGAATTCTATTCCTCACCACTACACGGAGGCCCGCAATCCCCCAACGCTCCTCTACTTCTAAGAACCAGTCGAAATTCAACGTTACGCAAATTTTAGAAATAACGCTCCAACGGAACCATCTTACATGCCCCAGTTAGGCTAACTACAGATCCAGAAATCCATCTATACCATTTTCCGGCCAAGTTGTCCTCTTGGGCAACAGAAATAATCTGAGGGGCATTCAACATGAGTCTACACAACTAAATTGTTCCGTGCGTACGCCAGTCACTTGTGCAGGTGTGTAGGTGTGAAGTGTATAGCCCGTCGCCTTCAGCCAATTGGACCTCAGACGCACTAAGTCATAGGGGTGCAGGCGGGACGGTTCAGCTCCTACGCACGGAACAAATTAATTGAGTAGACATGTTGAATACCCCCTCAGATTACTTCTGTTGCCCAAGAGGACAACTTGGCCGGGAAATGGTGTAGTATTCGGGCACTCTAAGTTTGGTGGATTAGCGCTATCGAGAAAGAAATTCTTGTCAGAACACCCCTTTGCTTATGATTAGGTGGTATTTTATGTTTACCTGCCTTATCCGACAGTAGTAATTCATGTAGCGGTTTCACGGAGCATGAAGGCAATTAAAAAGATACTACTTTCGAAGAAGAACAACTAGCCGTAGTAGAAAGAGTGAAGGACTTGCGTGCACACACGAATGTATAGCCTGAATCGAAGTAATTGCTCCAGATTGACCGATAATCCCGCACTAATTTAAGCCATTTATGAATGATAGTGGTGTGGTTAAGTAGAGGTAAAGACAGCCTATTATTCAGTGGTCACTATGTAAATCGGTGGAAACACTTTTGCTCAAAAGGTGTGTTGCGATAGCAGAGTTTATGATCGGTGTAGAACTAATGATAACTTTCTTCGTTATCAGTATGATGAGAAACAATTCAGAAAAGATTCATGAAACAACCTTATGCCCCTGCTGAGTTGCCAACTCGAACAATCTTGTCACCTACAACTACCCTAAAGTCTGTGCTCCTAATCATTCGTATAATGTAGGCGATCCGCTTGTTGTATCAATCTTTGGTAGTTTGTAGATTCTAACAGGCTTTCAACTTCGAACGGCACGCATGCGGTTGTTTTCGTAGACTCAGTCTATAATAGTAATCTTCGCAAATTTACTGAAAACGAGTTAGGAATTACAGAGGCCATGAGTTATCGGATCGACATCGGAAAAGACGCAAACTGTGCATGGCTCTATATCTTCTCCTTAGATTGCTGCTGTGGATACTTGACACTCTGTGCCTCCAGTTCTATCGCGAAATATTATCATGGACGCGTCCTCGTGACGGCCAACGGGTGGGAGTAGGCTTAAACTCTTGTAGCTAAGAGCCGGGACACGTCTGCGTGAGTTAATGGAATCATAGTGTATTTCCAGCTTCCTTTCGAAAGCACAATGTATCGAAACGCCACCACAACATCTCCTGAACAAGGGGTCGGATTTGCGCCATTCGAACACCTAAATGACCACGTAATGGAACAGCCGACTGGCATCAACCCAAGATTAGTGAAACCTAGCCTACGCCTCGGAGGTTGTAAGTGTAACCTTTATTAGCACGTATGGTAATACCATGTGTTATCCTAACGATACGTAGTACCAGATTACTCTCAGTTGACCTCCGTAGTAGGGTCGGTGCCGGAGAGTGATTGTCAATTACTACTGAGTGATTCTAAAGCGCGTTGAGGCGACGCCGCGGTGTAGACAAACGTAACCATGTTGTGTGCTTCGGGCTCGGCCAATGGGAGTGGCGCCAGTATGCACTCATTGTGACAAACTGACGGTCGCAAGCACACAGCTCTAAATGGGTGCGAATGTATTGCTGTTTGGACGTACCCAAGGAGTGGT